ACACACACACACACACACACACACACACACACACACACACACACACATTAGTCTAATTGCAAATAAGGAAAAGGAACCGAGTAAAGTATTTGTAGCCAGCATTTAAAACATTTACGAGAAAATGTTTAAACTGCAGACACAGTTTCCATTCATCAGTGTGTGTGTTTGGGGGGTGGCTAAACCTACTATATAGCGACTCAATCAGCACTGAACCAGCCTGAGTCGAAGGCTTGACACAGCTGCGGTGGGCTGTTTTGTCAGGGAAATCTGAACCTCTGGAAAGTCTCACCATTTCACCTCTGCTGCCCTGGAGTAATCTGGGGATATTGATCCTTCACTAAACTACAGGATGCAGCTTTTAATCTCTCTTATGCTTCTATGTATTATCTTCAACTCAAAATATTTACAAGCAATGCTTCACCAGTTATGTAAATACAGTAATTTGCTAGCTGCTTTTTTTCAACATCTAATAAAAATGTAAAATTCTGTAAAAATCTGCATTTGTCTGATGACGAACATCTCAATATCCTCTTCCTTCCTCCTGCTGCTCGCCCTCATTTTGTGTCTTTCCTCCCTCCCTCCGGCCCTTTACCAACTGATGGACCAGGACCAGGTTGAAATGGGTCATCGCTGTAAACAAATTGCCGCAATGCTAAAATTGGACAGAGTGAGCTATATTTATTAGCTTTGATAGATTTGATTTGTGTGTCAGGAGACCGCAGTGCTACGACTTAGCAAAACATTTCACTGACGCACAGTATGAGAGGAGTTTGCAAAAAGTATGAAATCTAAATTTAATGCAATAAAATGTAAATGACAAAACACAAATAGTCTGCATTGGTGCAATAAACACATGCCAAGCACAGTTTCCCTCTCAAGGCACTGATTGAATGGTTGTTAATGGAGTGTGCGTGTGTGTGTGTGTGTGTGTGTGTGTGTGTGTGTGTGTGTGTGAGAGAGAGAGGAGGGGGCTAATCCGCCTTGTGTTGCAGTTCAGAGAGAAATTTCAAGGTCTTTGAGTGCCAGCGGAGCAGACAGCCTAAGGTCGCACACACCCACCCACACACAGACACACAGATTTGGGGTCCCTCTTCTTTTCGTCCTCATTTCTAGTCTGCTCCTCTCCCTCCCCCTCCTCCCTTTTCATTTCCTTTGTCTTTTCTCTCCCACTTTTTGCCTCCCTCCCTCCTACCCATGTTTCCCATTTCTCTATTCTCTCACTGAACTCCCTCCATGATCACCTCCCTCTTCCTTGAACTCCCGCTCCGGGTCTTTCCTCACTGACTTGATCCTCCCCCCTCCACCTGTTACCTAAAGTCCACAAAAATAGAAATTCTCTATTTTTGAAATTTACTCCATTTAATCGCACTTTTGCCCTTTACGCCTCTGTGTCTCGCTCTACCCCCTCTACCACAGCTGAACGCTGGATAGGCTCCCAGTGATCGCCTCAGACACAGGGGGGCTCAACTTTGACCTTTACCGCTCCTCCCTCCCATCCGACATCCCTGCCTTCTTATAGAACTTCATTTATTTCCCGCCCTACTTCTCCTTTCTTTCACCTCTTCTTACATTCTTGTGGTTGACTCTCTCTCTTTTAACTTTGTCTCATACAAATGTGTTGTCACTCACTATTTTCCCACCTTTGAAGTAATAGTTAGCAGAAGTCAATACCGCTAAAGGTGTTTCTAGGATAGTAACAGAAGATTAAACGGATCCCTTCTCTATTATCTTTCATTCCAAGAGAACTGCGTCAGCCTCTTCTTTCCCATCCATCATCACCATGCAGCCACACAGGCCACCTTAAGATAGCCGAGTGACCTTCCTTCTCTTTCACTCCTATCTATTCATCAATCCATTTCTTCACTGACGCTTAAGCAAACTGTCTGCTCCATCTCCCCCCTCCTCCTCCTGTTTACATCCATCTCTGGATTCTCCTGCAAACAGAAGTTAACCTGCTTTGGATCAGACAGCAAAAGAATGTAAAGACGCAACACCCCAGAACTGTCTCTGAAACACACACACACACACTAACAGACACCCGAATTTAAACATATTAAAGAGAGTCAAAGGGGGTGGAAAGACATTCGCACACAAGTGCATGCACACGTTTCCAGATGATCCCGACTCCCACAGATCTCTAGTTCCCATGCCCACCCAGTGAGTGACTGTGATTGGCTGTGTGTGCCTGCATGTGTGTGTATGTAACTTTACTCCCACATGTCAGCATGTTGCTCAGTCATCTTTGACACAGACTTCGTCTTCTGATTACTCAACCAAATTACAAATTCAAAAATCAGCGCAAGGTCTGAATCTAAGCGGATAAAGAACCGCTTCGACCCACAACGCTGTCAAGAAGGAACAGGTTTCCCCCTTTTTTTGACAAATAAGATAAAAGAAAGAAAGAGGCATGTGTTACAAAGGGAGAACGCTCCACGTTTGTTTTCGGATAAACAAACCGGCGTTTCCTAGATGCGGGGCATCAGGCGAAGCTAATTTCAGCTCCTGAGATTCAGGCGGACTCGAGGTGCGTCTTGTGATGGAGATGACCGGGAAAAAAACAACCGCGCACTCCCACAGGACACAATCGCTCACTGAGAAAACACAAACACGTGAAAACATCTATTTCACTGGAGCAGTATCAAGAGTTTCATCAGGGCAAGCGGTTCCACGTGAGTTCATGTCACCGTCTTCCTCCACTAAACAATCAGCTTAGTCGATGTCATGTGACCAGCTGGAACTGTTATTCACATCTCAAACTACTGAACGCAACTTTTTTGCTGCAAAGAAAGACACCATTTGTTTCCCTCCCTGCTTGCCTCATCTTTCCCGCCACCACATCTAACTGCTCTACATGTCTCTTCCTCAAACTTCTTATCCCTCTCTCTCTCTTTCTGACACACACACACACACACACACACACACACACACACACACACACACA